AGGCAGGCAGGCAGGCAGGCAGGCAGGCAGGCAGGCAGGCAGGCAGGCAGGCAGGGGCAAGCAGGGCAAGCAGTCATCTAGCCAAGTAACCTAACTGACCTAAACCGAACCAACGCAATCTTAGCAAACTATTCAATCTAGCCAACCTAGCTCACCTAACTGACCCCACCTAGCCCCAAGACAAAAGAAGCTTGAAAAGCTAGCCATTGGAACCAAACTCCCCAACCACACCAAGCGATGGCTTGATCTCACCAAAGCGCTGGATTCGCAACTCGCTGTGACCGCCCGCCTCGCCCTCTTTCCGATTCGCCTCGTCCCTCTTCTGCTTGGCCCTCGCTTCGACAAAAGTTGAAACCCGCTTGACGCTGGAAACGCTAACACAGCTGGGTGAATTCTAATATTTCGCCCGCCTGAAATAAGGTGGTTGGGGGAAATAGCCCCCACATACACCACCATTTGGGGCGAGGTGGTGTGAGGTCGTTATCATTCACCCAGACATGTTGAACAGGGCTCCCGAAATTTCCCCCTTACATCACCACCCATAAACACTCAACTTTGGGCCCCAAAATTGTGACTTACCCCTTAAAACTCCAAGCCCTGGGGAAGTTAATATTTTACAGACATATAGCCCATGTTACCCAAAAAGTTGAAAAGTTGTGTTTTTTAAGAGGTAAGGTGATGTTTGCAAACCGCCAAAAGGGAAATCACTCGGGACCCTGAATCACGTTCCCCACGTTCGGGTGGCAGCAAAAACGGGGCGGCAGGAAGGACCCCAAGTGGCCGCACATGGAAAAAACGCGGGCTGGGGTCGGGGGGGGTTGCATGGGGCACCGCGGGGTTTTCTCGGCTTGTCAAGTTGCTGCTGCGACACACAGGGAAGGAGACACGGAATGACCCCGAGAAAGACCATCCAACTGGTGGGTTCCTTTAAGGAAACCGAAGCCTAGGTGCATTCCATTTCTCATTCCCTGCACCAGCAAGTTGCGGGTCAGACTTGTTCAACTCTCAGGAAGCGTTCGGAAAGGACCACTACAGGGGGCCAACTGGAAAGGGGGGCTATTCCTCATTTTGTTCCCCTGAATAAGGCCTTATTAGGAGCTTGTACTTATTCTTGGCTCCCAAAATAGCCCACCCCCCCCATAGCCTGTTAGGGGCTCATGATCGCTGATTCCTTGGGTTACTGTGAAATGTGCAATTCCAAGGGACACGGCTCATTGCAAGGCTCAAATGGCAACACCTCTGCAGGACAAAGGTGTGGCGAGAAAGCTTCAAACAGCCAAAATGAGTTTCCAAGGTTTGATTCAAATGCAGCTCGTATATTTTGGCTCGACCCCAACTGAGTGACTGTCCGCCATCGTCATTTCATCATCATGTTCATCATCATGTTCATCATCATCATCATCATCATGTTCATCATCATTTCCATCATCATTTCCATCATAATTTCCATCATCATGCTCATCATGCTCATCATCATGCTCATCATCATCATCATCATCATCATCATCATCATCATCATCATCATCATCATCATCATCATCATCATCATCATCATCATCATCATCATCATCATCATCATCATCATCATGTTCATCATCATCGTTTTTTCAGTATCATCATCAACATCATCATCATCATCATCATCATCATCATCATCATCATCATCATCGTCATCGTCATCATCATCATCATCATCATCATCATCATCATCATCATCATCATCATGTTCATCATCATCTTCATCATCATGTTCATCATCATGGTCATCATCATATTCATTATCATCATCATCAGCTCATCACCAATTTTCATTGGTGCAAAGCTGGAACCTCTTGTTGGAACCCTAATCTTCAATTAGCGCTCCTCTCATGCGTCACATGTGAGTGAACACAAAACATGGGATTAGCTCTTCTCATGAGCGTCACCCCTGTTGTCCATAGTGAAACCTGGCCCTGGACAAACGCTTGCTCACGTAAAGGTGCTGCCCCTGGTTGCAAAAAACAAAACAAAAAAAAACACGCCTCATCAGCAGCTGGAAGTACTGGTCAGCTCGCTTCATTCGGTTTCCGTCCTCGTCGAGCCCGTTCTTGAAGTTTTTACGACTTCCTTGGCCAACGCCAGATTGACGATGTTATGCCCTCTCTGCGTCAAGCGGATTATGCCCATGATTGCTTCATCACTTGAGAGTGAGACGTACGTCAAGCAGCTACACAAAGTGTCCAGCCGCGAGGACATTTCGGGAGTTCAGTACATGCGGGAAAGAGGACGCGTGTCACATTCGGGACCTGTTTTGGGACTTTGGAAAGCCCATGGTTGCCTTGGCATAAGATCGTCGCCATGAAACCCAGTTTCCCACAACCATGGTGAGCCCAGCACGAGGCATCCAGAGGATTTCTTACACCTTCGAGAAGTGGGGAAGTAGGCATTGCTGAAGTGAAGAAGTGTCAAAGTCCGACACTGCACCAACAGTTCGGAGTAATTGAGCAGCGACCAAAACCCGTTCTACTGAGATTCACACGGTTAGGAAGTCTTATGTAGATACTACTACAACCCCTACTAAACCAGGTAGTGCGAAGGATCCTCCTTCCCTTCTGTTGATTCAGGGGCTGGTGCCCGTTCGCGGTATGCGCCAAAACCTTGGGTTGGATACCACAAGAGTACGGTATCTTCGCAAATAGAACATGAGGAACTCTTGTTTTTCCAATTTTGGAAGTGGACGATTCGGGCTGTCCTCAGATCTTCCACTAAAAGCTTAAACTTTTGCGGGTTAAATCTCACTGCCTGAGTGGATGGCCCAAAAAAAGTCTAAACTTTAAATTTACCACCAAAATGGTCTTCCCAAAAAGTTTAAAGTTCATGAACTCAGGAAGTGAGAAATGGAAATCTCCGCTAAACGCTAAAACGCTAAAAAGCTCAGGAGATGGGGCTGGGAGCCACGGATTGGGGCGCCTTTTCACGAGAATACCGTCGCCTTCCTCTGATCCACTTGCATGATAATTGCTAAACAAAATGACAGACCGATGCGTCAACATTGGGGGAGGGGGAGACCCCTGAATTCTGAATGGTGGATTTCCTGTTGGTGTCCATGAAAAATAATCTGAGTACTCTTTTGGTGTTTGGGTCCGTTTAAGGTGAGTCTCCATTTGTTGGAGTGATGTTTACAAGGGAAATGCACTCTCTTTGTCTCCCATTTATAGGTTTTAAAGTTTCAAAGGAAAACCAAAAGAGGGCCGTCATTTGTCCCTTTTGTGGGGTCACTGCAAAAAAAAGACCCGCATTCCCACGTTCAAGAATCCGAGTAATGTTGACCAGACGTTAGAATTTGGGTCCCCCTTTTTGTCAGTGGTCTATTTGTGGAACCCTCCGAACCAAAAAAGAAACGGTGAGAGCGGGCACCTAGCTGCTAGGACCTAGCTGGGGGACCTAGTCGTCTTTCCTTGAGTTGCTGCGCCTTTCTGCTGGTTTCGACGGAAGAACCAAAAAGGAAAACCAAAAAGGAAAACCGGGGTCAACCTTATTGAGCACGTCCATCCCCTCGACCTTGGCTTCGATCCCAAAAAAGAACCCTGGTGGAACCCTGGTGGAACCCTGGTGGAATGGTGGAACCCTCGTGGACCTTACCTCAGGGCCGCCCCGGACCCCGGAGCCCATCTGGGCTGAGACCCCAAAGCTTTCAGCTGTCGGGGGTACCACCAAAACCGCCACAACAACCAAAAAATAATCTATTTTTTTACCCAAAACCACCAACAAATCATCTAGTGTTTTACCCAAAACCACCAAAAACCACCGACAAATCATCGATTTGTTTCACCCAGAACCACCAAAAAGGACACCAAGACCGTCCATCCCCTCGACCTTCGCTCCGATCCCCCCCCAGAAAAAAGGTCGCCCGAGGCGCGGAGATCCGAGCCGGAGAGGCCAAGGCCAGGGCGCCCGGCCAGCTCTAAGCTGCCTCAGGCGGTTGGATCGGAAGCTGACGAAGACGGTGCCCGTCTTTGAGTCACCTCCTCCTTTCTTCTTCTTGTTTTTGTGTGCGTGTGTGTGCGTGTGTGTGCTTTGTTTTTACACAAAAAAAGAGCACAAAACAACAAAGAGCTCCTTTTCCGTGTGGCTTTTTTTTCACAGGGAAACTAAGAGGAACACAACCAAGAGGAAACCAAGAGGAACCTTTGTTGGTTGGTTGTTTGTTTTCTTTGGGGCTTTTGAGTAACCTGTCACAATCAAAACCAAGAGGAAAACAACCAAGAGGAAACCAAGAAGAACCTTTGTTGGTTGTTTGTTTGCTTTCTTTGGGGTTTTTGAGTAACCTGAGTCACAATCAAAACCAAGAGGAAAACAACCAAGAGGAAACCAAGAAGAACCTTTGTTGGTTGTTTGTTTGCTTTCTTTGGGGTTTTTGAGTAACCTGAGTCACAATCAAAACCAAGAGGAAAACAACCAAGAGGAAACCAAGAAGAACCTTTGTTGGTTGTTTGTTTGCTTTCTTTGGGGTTTTTGAGTAACCTGAGTCACAATCAAAACCAAGAGGAAAACAACCAAGAGGAAACCAAGAAGAACCTTTGTTGGTTGTTTGTTTGCTTTCTTTGGGGTTTTTGAGTAACCTGAGTCACAATCAAAACCAAGAGGAAAACAACCAAGAGGAAACCAAGAAGAACCTTTGTTGGTTGTTTGTTTGCTTTCTTTGGGGTTTTTGAGTAACCTGAGTCACAATCAAAACCAAGAAGAACACAACCAAGAGGAAACCAAAAGGAACCCTTTGTTGGTTGTTTGTTTGTCTTCTTTGGGGTGGTTGAGTAACCTGAGTCACAATCAAAACCAAGAAGAACACAACCAAGAGGAAACCAAAAGGAACCCTTTGTTGGTTGTTTGTTTGTCTTCTTTGGGGTTTTTGAGTAACCTGAGTCACAATCAAAACCAAGAGAAACACAACCAACAGGAAACCAAGAGGAGACCGCCGTTTCTTTTGTGTGGCATCCGGCGAAAAAATGGGAAAACATGAAAAACGCGAAAAAAGAGGAGAAACAAACACAGAAGAAAAAAAAAAGAAGAAGAAAAACCAAGAAAACAAAACGGGGGGGGGGGCAAACCCACGACCTCGGCACGGCGCTGTTTTGCCGGGTTGGGATTTTGCCCATCTCGGGCCCCTGGCTGCCGGGGGAGCCGGAGATTCCGGAGGGCATCGAGCTGGAGGCCAGCATGCCGCTCACGCCTGGCGAGAAACGAAAAGTGGGTGACCCTCTGGGTGAATTAGATGTCACCCGCCTGAAATAAGGTGGTTGGGGGAAATAGCTCCCCCACAGAAACCGCCATTTGGGGTGAGGTCGTGTGAGGTCGTTATAATTCACCCAGTCTTCTTGGAGTTGGTACCCCTTGTTTGGGGTGGTTTTGAAGGGAAGCCAACAAAAAAGCAACACAAAGGGGTGACGCTCGCCGTTGTTGGGACTTGGTACCCTGAGTTTCGGGGATTTTTATTGGGCGGTAAAAAATGGGGAACCAAGAGGAAGACCAAACGGCTTTGAGGGGTGGCCAGAAAGGGACAGACCAAATTGGCAACCCTGGCTCTGATTTGATCATCTCGAGGCTCGAAGAACCCAAAATATGGTTTGCAGTTTCCGAAACGGCAACCAGGACAAAAGGAGCTTAAGCCAGGGTCCGCTTGCCAAAGCTTGTTTAAGAGAGTTTGGGTTCCATAAGAGGAAAGCGCAACCACTTTTAGAGGAAAAAAATGCTTCCAATGTCCGGTAGTCAAAAACCATGTTTTCTGCGGTACTCGACGAGAAATCAAGCAAACCTATGAGGTACTCTAAAAAGGACCACCCTGGTCACTGAGGGTTGGCAAAGGCGTGTCGGAGCGGCGCCGCCCGGCGTGCTTGTCTTGGATGGTGGGCAACCTGGCGATGCTTTCGCCCGGTTTTTTGGCGATCAACACCCCCGAGATCGACTGGTTCGAATCCCCCTTCCCTTTGTTGCAGATAGCGCTCTTCACTCATGAATCAACCGAATTTAGCAAACAAAATACATCATGAAGTGGTAAGCATGGAAAAAGGCTCAGGGCTTCTCCCCCTTTTCCCTGACCTGCAAAGCTGCTGGGTTTCAGTGGGAACTCAAAATGAATAAGCTTGTGGTTGTTCGGTCTGCGTCCCATGAAGGGACACCTTCACATTCTAGGGCAACTCCACCTAATGTCAGGAGACGATTAGTAATCAGGGGGGTCCTCCCAAAAATCTCAATTTTTGGGACTTGTCGACCTTGAAGGGGGGGGGGGGGAGGGGGGGGGGTTTACTAATCAGTTGTCACCATTACTCATTCTGTTGCTTGTTGACTTATCTATTTTACATTTATTGATTTCTTCATTTCGAGAGAGTGAGAAGAGAAAAGGCTGTCCTCAGATCCCCTGCTAAAAGTGACTAAGTCTTCGGGGGTTGCATTCGGACCACCACGAAACCAACCAAAAATCACCAAACACCTCAGTTGAACCCGACTTCGCTGGGAACCCGAACCAAGCCTGGTTATAACCCACACACTTACCATGTTTCTAAGTCTCCGTTCAGCGGGTTATAACCAGGCTTACTAACCACTTAGTAAGTTCCATGCCCCTTTCAGTAGTCCCCAGGGCACGCTTTTTGCCGTTCAGCTCACCAGGCGTACCGAATCGATCGCCCCTTTAATCTGCTTCCTCTTAGCTGGTGGTTTAAGTTTGTGGTTTGGTGATTCAGGAAGGGTTTCCCATTTACCCTCTACAAGGACCAGGGGCTCAAATCCAAATCCAAACCACCACTCCAAACCACCAATCCAAACCACCAGATAGTGGCAAGCTGCAAAAAACATCCCGGGGTTCCCTTTGGCTCCACAAACCACGGCCCGTTTTTCCGCCCAGACCCGCGCAAACCCTTCGCCCCTTCGTCCCTTCGTACCTGCCCTCCGTCAGCTTGAAGTTGGCCCAGCCGCTCTTGGCCACCACGGTCCTAAGTCTCCGAACCAAATCGGCGCCGTGAAGGTCGACCGGCTGGAGGAAAGGGCCTAGGAACCCCAAGGCCTGTGTCCATAGGTGGCCTTTTGGAAAAAAATCCATGGGTTTCTCTGGCAAATGGGGCATACACCCCATCTAAACCGTGTCTTGTGTTCAGTTGGCACCAACCGTTTTATTGCCGTTTGAACTCCTTGGGTGCTGTAGATCCCCCAGCAAAAAAAGAAGAAGAACAACTTTTTGCAGGATACAGGGGAAAAATGAGGGGTACCCCTCAAAAAAAAGTCGGAAAGAAAAGAGGGAGAAAAAAAACACAAACAGCACTAGAGCCACGTCGGTCGCACCCAAAAAAACATCACCCTGAGGCCGGGGCCCGAGCTTCGCCGTGTCGAAGACGTGGGGCTCCAACGTTCCCGTCGAGGCCGCGGAGGAGGCCGTGGTGGTGAAGGCGGGGACACCCCCGGCTGTGGCGGCGGTGGAGGCGGGGGAGGGTTCCAGCTTCAAGGACCTCAGTGAGAGAGAAGCGGACGCCTGGCTCCGTGGGTGGCGTGTTTGTTGTTTTTGTTTTTGGTGGGGGGGAAACCTGCCGCCCGTAAAGTCCGGTCGAAAGAAGAAAAAAGAGGGTTGTGTTTTTTTTTTGGGGATCTCCGGCAACACGGCTCGTAGCCACACCTGAGTCGCAATCAAAACCTGGTACTAAAATGGTCTACCCAGAACCATGCTTCAAGCATTAAGAAGGCGGATATCCGCAGCTATTTATGGCTGGGATCGTCCCTAACCTTCATCTACCCGAATCGGTTTTGAGCACGTGGCACACCTGGAGATCCTGAGGTTTGTACCGGGCCCCCAGATCCTCTTCAGTGATCTCTGGACCCTCAGGCTCCGCAGGCTCGAGGCTCAGACCGGATCATCGGCTCGGACGCCCATCCTCGGCTCTGTCGTTGAAGCGGCTGAGTTGAATGATCCATGCGGTTCAAAGAACACTCGCTTGCTTTCTGCTCCCCTGCTAAAAGTTTAACTTTTGGCGGTTTAATGGGAAAACCCATTAGTTGGCAAAAAGTTAAAGTCCTAACATCCAAGCAAAATGCACCAAAGAACGGTTCCCTGGCCTGCTTGTTGAGGAGGGAAGAAACCATCTTTCCCAAACACAACAAGCAAATCATGTTGTTGTCATTTTGCGCAGCACGACATGGAGATGGTCCTTGCTGGTATGTTCCTTGCCCACATCGCGTAGGTCATGACCATGGTTATAAATGGGACAGCGCGTGGTGGACATGATACGTCTGTCTGTGTGTGTGTGTGTGTGTGTCTGTTCATGGTTGTAATCTACTGGGGGGCAGGTAAGGTCACAACCATAAGTGGCACGACAAGGCTTAAAACCTACCTTGCGTGGAAAAGGAACATCCAAGCCTGTTCTTTCCTGGGCTCCACCAAACCGCCGCCGAAAGGAGGATGTGTTCTTTTTGGGCGCTTGGTTTGTTCGGATCACGAAGATGTTCGTATCTTTTTTTTAAGGGAGCGTAAGGCTTTGGTTCTCGGTCTCTCACAGGTCCCAAGATTCGCAGCTTGAAGAGCGACTTCTCCACTAACTTCTCCCCATCGATACGGTCGAAGTCGATGGGCGCCCGCTCCTCTGCAAGGCGCAGACAAAACTCAGGGGTACACCAACTAGGTCCTCCAGTAGACGGCTTAGAATAAGGGTACCCGATGTTTTCCCATTTGTTTTCTGTAGTCTATTTTAGTAGGGGAACCCTCCGTCAAAAAAGGGGTAAAAGGGCACTATTATACTGGGACACCTAGCCAAAGATGATGTATTCAGAGTATGCTTCAACCTGAACACATAGCGAATTCTCTGAGGCGAGCCCAGAAATTCGGCATAGAACTCCCAAGATAGAGAATTTCCCCATGTGAATTCCCTTTGAACCACCCAACAATGTGGTGCATTTGGAAAAAGACACATGGTTTGGCTTTTGTACTATCCCACTTGAGTCCATCTCAAAACCTGCTAATGTCGACCTAAGTTTAATAAATGGGGACGTATTAACAAAATTCTCGGCCACCGGACCCGCTTTTTCACCCAATACTAAATTAAGAAGGGGCTAAGTCAAAAGTTAATTGCAAATATATAACACCAAGTCGACCCTCCAAAGCACAACATGAATAAACCACCCAAAAGACTCACATTAATAAAATTCCTCGAAACGCGGGGGCGAGCCAAGCAAGTTTTTTTGTATCAGGGAGCAAACCAGTTCAAAATGATTCAAAAGTAAGCAGGTAGCGTGCAGAAGTTGATGGCACAGAGACACATGCAACAAGTGTGCAGCGCACCAGGCAAGGTAATTATATAACTGCAACCTTCAAAGGCTTTTTAGCAGACCTCAGATCTCCAAAAAACATACATGCCCGGAAAGTGCAGCTTTTAACTGAAGTCTCTTTACAAAAGTGATGTCCCTGGACTCCAACATGAGGTACCCCACACAAGCTCCCCAAACCCGCATTAGTAAACTACAGCCACTACTACAAGTACTACAAGCACTAGAAGCAGTACAAGCACTACTACAAGTACTACAGCCACTACTCCAAGCACAGCAAGTACTAGAAGCAGTACTACAAGGACTACTACAAGTACTACAGCTACTACTACAAGTACTACAGCTACTACAAGTACTATAAGTACTAGAAGCAATACTACAAGTACAATTGTTTTTTACTACGGTACTTTGCCCGAAAAGAAATAAAGGGGGGGGGCCTGTTTACTAATATGAAGTCGACATTAATCTTCGTCCACCCTGCTGATTGTGGTTCACTTGTCTTGTTTGAGTTTTGTTTTCTTTTTTTGGGGGGCTAAAGGGAAACCAATAAGAACGCCACCATTTTGGAGGGTCCCCGCAAAAAAAAAGCAAGGCACTCCCACTTCCTGGTAGCTAGGCGACTTCGCGCCTCGCTGGACGTTCCGAAGGCCCAACAAGTGTGACAGCCGACGGGGAGCTCTTGGAGACAGCTTCCAACTGACAAGATTCGTGCATGGAAAGCACGTTATCGAAAGCGCTGCCCAATAGCTTTGCTGTACTCACTTTAAGGACTTAGATATTTGAAGTGTGAAACTCTTGGAATCTGCGGGCAAATGAACGAGCAAAATGTGGATGTGCATCGAAAACTGGGTTCCAGTGGTTGGTTCAAGAAAACAAACTGCCGCCGGATGCACGAGCATGCCGAAGCACGAGCATGCCGACGCGATTTTTTGTTACAAGGCCCTTGGCAGATGCTGGGACAATGCGAAATCCCGGCTTGTTCAGAGGCAAGCACGAGGAATTGCCTCAGGGCCAGAGAAATCGCGAACTGACTCTTGGCAGTGCGTTCTTCGTGAATTCCCGAAAAAACTTGGTGTCCAAGAGGGGTAGACGTGAAGCTTTTGATGCGTGGGACTCTCCCTAACTCACCGCAAGAACAAGTGATGGGGACGTCGAGTGCGGACTCGTGCGTTTGGTGCGAAAGCTGTTTGTGCCAAAGGCGAAGGCTTGGGCCACGAGCGTGTTTGTCGAAATCAGCCCTTGTTTGAACAACCTCCTCTACATAGATGCCCTTTTGAAAAAAATAGTAATCAGGTCAACCAGGAATCGCTATTTATGTTCTAGCAGACCAATAAGGATACCTATGCTCCACCAACGTTGCCGAGATTTGCAGCTTGAGTTTGGCGCCTAAGTGCCGGGCAACAAACTTTGGAAACGTGAATGGCCGGAGGTGAGGGCAACATGGGATTCTGTATAAACACACGTACACGCAGCATGTGTCAAAACAGGGACCCCAAAACTGGCACTTCCCTTGAAAGCAAGGTGAAAAGGGTGCCCTCAAAAATCAAAAAAAAACAACACGCCCACATGGGTTCCTGCACCAGTAACTGTGCTGGTGGGTCGATCTCTTCAACGCAGGAAGGAACCATGGGAGTGCGGTAGCGCACCCCTAAGCCCTGAGGTGGAAGGCAAATTGGTTTGAATCGGTGTGATGTTAAAGCCCTCCTTTCAAAACAAGCCTGTTTATTTCTGGTTCTCCTCATGGTTTTCAGCTTCCCTCTATGTTTTGAATTAGTGGTTAGTGAAATTGAACCTCTGTTTGCCGAGGGTAAATGGGACGCCACTCCCTTTGCACACCAAACCATTGATTCGGCTCTCCGCCGAAGGTGGCAGATTCAAAAACCGCCGAGCAAAGAGCAGCCGACTTATCCTTTTGCGCAAATCAACGGGAAACCACATCTGGGGGTTCCAGATGCGTCATGTCTCCAAATTGGGGAACCTCAAACATATGTACTTTCCTGATGGTATCCTTTTTGAAACCAACCAAAGGGAGTTCCCAGAATCTTGGTTGCTCTTGACCCCCCTGCAAAAAGTTCTCAACTTTTTGGGGCGGGTTAGTACGGAAAACGCAACTTGATTTCAACCAAAAAGTTAAAAAGTCTAAAGATTCGTTGCCCAATAGTCCAGGAAAAAAAAGAAGACACCGTTTTCCCCCTCCATTCGAAGCCCAACTGGCTTCGCCACTGCTCGCTCTCGCCCGTCCGGCTCGTCCGTCTTGCCCTTCTTCCCCATGGCGCAAGGGCCAGCGGTCAGCGCCCAGTGAGAAGTCGCAGCGGGTTTCAGAAATACAGTAGATGTTTGTCACACGGCTGTGGGTCAAAACCAATGGTTTTGGGATCCCATTTTGGTGGGGATAGGTGAATTCACCACCCACTTTAGAACCTATTTTACTGGGGATTGGGAGGTTCACTGAGATTCTGGGTCCTTCTTGAAGCAACAGACGAACCCTGATTTTGGCAGCTCAAAAACCTGTGGCTCAGAAATAGGGTCACCCCAAATTGAACCCTAAGTGGCAACATAGACTAAAACCTGCGGTCCAATTCCTGGCGGTTTAATTTTGACCCATACCCAAATGAGTTTTCCCTGTGTTGGCAATCAAAATATGCAGGGGGCATGCGTCTGGTTTTGCGGGACACCCAAGAAACTATCCAGTTTGGGGTATCCACCATTTTGAGACAAACCTATATGCCACGCGAGGATTTGACATCCCGTCGCCGAGATCATAAGCTAATGCAAAGTTTCCCCAGGTTCAACTACTCCCGTGCAGAGTTGCATGAAACCAAGAAACGGCATTCGCAACCAAATCTCCTTTGTCTTGAGCCAACAGGCAAATGCCATGAGATGATGACCCACAGGTCTGGATGGGACCTCCCAATTTGAACGGCCAAATTTACCATGGCGTTGCGGGGTACTATCAAACCAGATCATCTTGCCGGAGAAAAATATACGTACAAACGCCCCTACCTGCCTACGTGCCACGCGCGGCACCTGGAGCCAAAAGCGTGAGTGACAAACGCTAAGCACCCCGGAGGCGGCATTCCAGCTAATCAACATCCAGCATCCGCCCAACCTCCGCTTTTTGGGCACTTGGGAATTTGGACATGGGAAAAAGGATCAGAAGGCTGTTGGAGGGTCCCGGGTGCTGGATGATTCACCCACGAGGCCGTTTCCTCGTGCTTTAAAGGAAGCGGTTGAACGTGTCTTGAGTCACGGCGCTCCCCAGGTGTTTTCCTCGAGACCACCCCAAAAGTGAGGTGGTTATCACTTCCCCTTGGGAGAGTGGTGTTCACCCACAAGGGCTAACTAACAGGAACCATCCAGAAATATTCAACTCCAGGTTCACCCACGTTTTTCGGGTCACTTGGGAAGGAAACCGGCCAAAGGGGTGTGTGAAATGAGAGACCCCTCTTTTGGAGTACCCCTTACTCCAAAATTTGCACCTCTGAAAAACCTCGGATGTTTGTTCTAACCCAACCAGATCACAATTCCTTTTCTCAAAGCATACTGTGGAGGAAATCGCCGTTCAGAAACCCTGGAATGCTGCGACTCCCCCTGTAAATCCCAACAAGCGTTGTGGTTGTTCCAATGGCTTCGAAGCGATGCGACACGGATTTCGCAGCCATCCACCTCCATTTGCTGAGAAGTCCCGAAGTCAAAAAAAAAACATATTTCAAGTAGTGAAATTGCTTCCCTTTAAAGCCAACAGGGGAAAACAAAAACAGAGTCTTTTCACCAAATGGAAGGCCATAGTACCTCGAATCCGTAGCGGGGAGCGGCACCCTCGCGCGGCTCGCGACTCTGCCTGGCGAGCTCTCAGCGAGAAGCGAGAAGCGCGCCCGGAGGAATTCTTTTGGGATGTGGCTGTGGTTGTCAAAACCATTTTTGGGTAGGTGCACCACCCATGGCAATTCAGTCAAAACCGTTTTGGGATCCCATTTTGGTTGGGATTGGTGAATTCACCACCTATGTTGGGACCTGTTTTAGTGGTTGGGTCCCGTTCACTGGGGGTACGATTTGGCTGTTGATGGCCATGTAAAGGGAAAGCAGCCAGAAATCGCGGGTTGGGGATCCTCATGGCTCACCCGCAGAAAAACCAAGCCCTTGCGCGGTTTTGAAGGGAAATTTCGAGCCCCCCCGCCATGTCTCGCGACCCAAATTCGCGGAATTCCGGTTATTTAAACGAAAAGGTAGGAGCCCCGTGAGGGTGGCCATGTTGGGTTTTCCCTCCCCCTAAAACCCCCCTCCCCCTGCTAAGGGTGACAACTCGGGCATGGGCTCCGGCACCAGTCATGGCACCATTGGGTTGCCACGATGACGTGGCATGGGTGTTTTGGCAAAGATGGATTTCCCGGTCAAATGGGCAAGGGAATGACACCAATCAACCAGCTTCCCGCGAACTGGTGGTTTGGAGCGTGGTTTGGATTGGAAGAGGAGGGGGACACCCGCAATAACCCTCTACGAAAAACCGGGGCTTCAACTCCAAATCCGAATCCAAACCACCAATCCCTCCCCAAAAAAGAACAAAGGGCTACCTGAGACTTGAGGGGTGCTCTTTTTGTAAATGACACTGGGATGGACAACAAGAACATCTGGTTTCTTGGGGTTCGTTGTATCTCCCTTTCAAACATCACCCCACCAAAGCAAAACTCAACTTGGAATTGGGCTCCAGGGTGATTTTTCACCCACCCAAAACAGGGACCCAGGCGACTGACATCTGATATATGTAAGGATTAATTCATTAAACTGGTTAAGTAGCCTACTTGTCTGAGGTGGCGTTTTTACATCCAAGTGGAAGTACACCCCCCTTCATCTGGCATGTGTCAACATAGGGAGACTCCCAAAATGGTGAGTACCTTCGAAACTCAAACACAAACACAAACACAAACACAAGCACAAGCACAAGCACAAGCACAAGCACAAGCACAAGCACAAGCACAACCACAAACACAAACACAAACACAAACACAAAACACGAACACGAACACGAACACCAACACCAACACCAACACCAACACCAACACCAACACCAACACCAACACAAACACAAACACAAACACAAACACAAACACAAACACAAACACAAACACAAACACAAACACAAACACAAACACAAACACAAACACAAACACAAACACAAACACAAACACAAACACAAACACAAACACAAACACAAACACAAACACAAACACAAACACAAACACAAACACAAACACACACACACACACACACACACACACACACACACAGTGTTCTAAGTTCTAAGGATGTGTCTGTTACACCCTGGCATCTGGCATTCCTTGCATTCCCATCCATGGTACTCCGGGCGGACCATTTCAAGGGTCCATTTCTCTGGCAGGCTGAACATGCTGGTAAACGCAACCACCCACTATCGACTCCCTCGGTTTTTCAAGGGGCCCCTCCCAAAAGTGTCCCTCGAACCTCCCTCCGTTCCATTGGTCTTTCTGGGCTTCAAAACATCGAAGGTCCCTCGTTTTGTTTTCTTCTCTCTGTGCTCCAAGAAGGGAATGCAAAAAAAGGCTCCGCTCGGATCCACAGCGCTGGATCCGACTACCAGGGCTGTGGTTGAAAAATGGAAGCCACGAATCTGTGAAACAGGAACGAGCCTCCCAAAGACGAGACGGGCCCCCCAGAAAAAAGACGGGATTTTGTCGAAGGTATCACAGAAGTGGGTTAGGAGAAACCCCTTTTTGCTCCCACCCTGACTTGGACAAGTTCCAGCCACAAAACCCGGGAGAAAACGAACAAAACAAAAATCTGAATTATAATATTTCACCAGCCTGAAATAAGGTGGCTTGGGGGCTATTCCCCACATAAACCAGCAGGGTGAGGTGAGGTCGTTATAATTCACCCAGTTTTCTTGGAGTTGGTACCCCTTGTTTGGTGTTTTGAAGGGAAACCAACCAAAAAAACAACACACAAAACACTCCCAAAACCCGAAGAAAACGAAAAAAACAATGCACCAAATTGCCTCAAGAGCTCCTGGGGCGCGCAGAGGAGCACCGGCAGCTTCCAGCCGGGGCCGTCCAGCATCACCTGCCGACGGGCGGGCGAGGTGAAGCGCGCGGTGGACTGAAACTCGGGGTCGGTCTGAGGGTCTGAGGGTCTGAGGGTCTGAGGGCTTGAGGGCTTGAGGGTTTGAGAGGCACTGGTGCGGCCGAAATATTTGGGCAAATCAAGCACAAGGGGTTTAACTAAGTCTCACACTTCCTGAGTGGCCCCCAAACAAAGGCCGAACTGTCTCTTTCCCGCTCAAATGGTCCCAAAAAGTATAAAGTCCAGGAACGCAGGAAGTGAGGTCTACCTTGGGGTAGCAAAAAATGGAACCCTGGTCGGGTGTGTCTTGAATATAGCGGGACCCACACAATGGCCCTTTAAAAGCACCGAAGAAGGTACCCTCAAAAGGAGACACACACCCATTTTTGCAAATTCAACCCCTTCAAAACCGACACCCGAAACAAACAGGTGGCAAAATAGACGCCATGTTCACACGGCTTGGACGCAGGGATCGAAGAGGTGGGGCAAGAAAAGGGTCTAAAAGTGGACACAAAAAATCGAGAATGGCCCATCTGGGGTTTTGGTCGGGCAAATGGAATCGAGGAAAATATTGCAAAGGAACTCCACGCGTGGGGTGGAGGCCGTCAAACAAGTTGATTCAAACCTGGAGCCACCCCTTTCCCCCCAAACACCAAGGCCCAAGGAACCTGGAGCCATCTTGTCACAAAATGTGGAGGTTTTTTTGGCAAAGGAGAAATGGGTTTGTCTTCTTTAAGGTTGGACCTCCAAAACGGTTGTTTTCCTTTGGTGTCCCTTTAAAACCACCAAACAAGTGGTACCAACTCCAAAAACAAGCCACACCCAAATGTACCAGACAGGGCGAGAAGCAGGACGAGAGTCCCATCCATCTTTTCCATTTCAAGGGTACCTACTAGTGTTGACCCCTGGTTGATAAGCCCCAGCTATTTGAACTCGGGGGTTGTTTTCGGGGGTTCTTTTCAAGGGGAAACAAAAGGAAAGGGACATTATCCAGAAAAACCCTCAGCGGCTGAGCTTATGTGCACTGAGCTTGGAAAGTGATCACCAACCGACCCACCCGCCCCAAACGGGCCAGCTAGCCAACCAACCAAGCCAACCAATACCAGCAGTCTCAAACCCAATGTGTTTACGACACTCCATGAGGGCGTCCGCCAAAATGTGTTGCAGGGCCGCAGCGT